CAAATATTTTCTGCGACAATGGTTCCACGTTTAAAGGAGCCGAGAATAAAATCAAAGAGTTTTATAACGAAACAGAAAAAATTGAAAATTATTCCCTTCAGGAAAAAATTACATTTAATTTTATACCGAGCTATTCTCCAGTTTTTGGTGGTTTATGGGAAGCTGGAGTAAAATCGGCAAAATTTCACATCAAGCGAGTCATAGGTAGCAATGAGCTTACCTATGAACAATTTAATACTCTTATTGTCCAAGTAGAAGGAATTTTAAATTCCCGACCACTTGTAGCCTTGTCACAAGATCCTTCAGATTTGGACTATTTGACCCCTGGTCATTTTTTGATAGGTGCGCCTATCACAAGCTTTCCTGACCCTGATTTGACGGAAATTCCCCAAGGTCGACTTAAGTTTTGGAAATTGTGTGTCCAGATGCAGCAGCATTTTTGGAAAAAGTGGTATCACGACTATCTAACGCAACTCCAAAATAGGCCAAAATGGCGTGATGAGATGCCTAACCTTAGGGAGGGCTTGTTAGTCATTTTAAAAGAGGATAATGTACCTTCTTATAAGTGGCCAATGGCAAGAATAGTTAAAGCAATACCTGGAAAGGACGGCAAAGTAAGGGTTGTCGAAGTGAAAACCAAAAAAGGTATTTATCTCAGATCGGTTACCAAGATTGCAGTGTTACCGATTGATGACAATAATTGTTAATAATATTTTTGAAAATTATTCACAAAATTCTGTACATATATTTGTAAAACATTTAGATTTATATTTATATTCAATTAGCTATACTCGTATATACATACATAATGTCATACTATGTGTTCCAGAAATGTTTTTAGCTTTAATTGTTAGTTAAGTTTTCGTTTACTGGATCATCATTGAAATCATACCTTTTTTTAAAAAAAGGGTTGCTTACTTTCTCTTTAATTTTTTTATTTTTTTTTGCTGGAAAATTTTACCTTGGTTTCATGTGAAACTCTAGGCCCCCCAGCATGTTGGAAACATGTTCCAACAATCATGCTATCTCTTTTTGATGGCAAAATATTTTTATACATATAAAGTTTGCAACACTGCAGCGTTGTCGTCATGTCTATTTTGTCATGTCTGTCAATATATTGCGCGCCATTTTTGTCATTGCAGTAGTGTAGCTTGGAGCTTGTCCACGTTAACAAGCATCCAGAAACCTTTTCACATTTTAATAAATTTTATAATCTAGCTCTGCCCTGTTGGGCATCTAAGCAAGCTCTGGCTTCTTGTCATCTTGTAGTAGTAATTGTAAATAGTGTAAATATTGTGTAAATTGTTGTAAATATAGTGTCAGTGAAAAGCGCGTGTGTTTTAGTTCCCTATCCAGTCGATCATCCAGTCCACCTAATTATACAGTCCACTAATTATCAAGTTATTTATCTTCCATTATGTGGTTTTGCACAGGCGAGAATTGGGTCTTTGACTTTGGCAAGCCACACAAGAGGATTGTGGTCAGTTTCTATGACAAACTTGACACCATAAAGGTAGCAGCGAAAATGTTTTGTCGAGTCGACTATAGAAAGAAGTTCCCTTTCTATAGTGGAATAATTTCTTTCTGCGGAATTGAGGGTGCGGGAATAGAATAGCGTACTTGCATGGAAAATTAAATTGATTATTGTTTATTGCAAACTGTAGGAAATCGAAAAAAAAAACGTTACTTTTTTTTTATTTCGCCCAAATATGATTATTCCGGAACTTATTCAAATATTAAGTTTTGTATATATAGATATACTGAGCATGTGCAACGTCATTAATTTATTAGACAAGTGACGTCATAGGCAGATTTCAAAGTGTTGTATCTCCGTCAATTTTTGACCAAGAAGAAAAAGAAAAAACACGTGTTGACTTATTTTTCATGGACTATCGAAAACAGCAATAAAAAAATTTGATGCAAGGAGCCTATTGGGTGATCATTTTGGGATAAGACGCTGCCTATGGCAATATTTGAGGCCTCTGTGGTCAGTTTGAAAGGTTTTGCGAAATCGGGATATTGAAGGACAGGAGAATTACTGATTACTGAGTTCTTTGCATTTTAAAAATGCGGTTTTAAACTCATGGTTTCCGATATTATTTTCACTACCTTTTCTGAAACATTTTGTTATAGGAAAAGTGATTTTTGAAAAGTTTTGTATGAATCTCCGGTAGTATCCCACTAAACCTAAAAAGGCTTTTATTTCTTTTTGATTTTCAGGAATTGGGTACCGTTGAATAGCTTCGATTTTTGAAGGGTTTGGCTTTATACCTTCGAGAGTTATTACGTGTCCAAGAAAGGCGACTTCTTTACATAGAAATTCTGACTTATCGGGCTGAATCTTAAGATTAACCTCTTCAAGTTTTTTGAAGATCTGCCGAATGTGATCTATATGCTCTGAAAGGGATTTCGAGAAGATGACAACGTCATCCATGTAAACGAAGCAAAATTTATATAAATAGTCGCGCAGAATTTCGTCCATCATTCTTTGGAATGTGGCGGGGGCGTTTTTAAGTCCAAAGGGCATGCGCAGGTACTCGAATTGACCATTGTTTACTGTGAAGGCAGTCTTCTCGATGGAATTTTGGTCCATTTCGATCTGGTGAAATCCTTGGGCAAGATCAAGGGTAGTGAAGTACGTGCATTTCCCGAGATTGTCTAAAATTTCTTCGATTCTTGGTAGGGGATATTTTTCTTCTACTGTGACGTCATTAAGTCGTCGATAGTCAATTACCATTCTGAATTTACGTTTTCCAGAGGCGTCGATCTTTTTAGGAACGATCCAGACGGGTGCAGAATAAGGTGAAATAGAGGGTCGAATAATTTTGTTACCTAGTAGCTTTTGTATTTGGGATTGAATTTCCAAATTCATGCTAGGAGGGTGTCTAAAGGACTTTACATATACGGGCCTGTCATCAGTTGTTCTGATGAAATGTTTTGTCTGACTTGTGAAGGAAAAATCACAGTTTTCATGGTACATAATATCCTTGAATTCGTGACAGAGGGGAATAATTTTTGTTTTTTCGAGAGGATTCAAATGATCTCGTCTCAGAGATTTTTCGACATTGAGTTTTGGTACAGAATCGAAAGAGGGGTCTAACAATTCAAATTGGTCCTGTGGGATGACTTTAGCTCTTTGGTGGAAATTAATGCATATATTTGGAGTCGGATTAGGGATTTTGCAAAGTCCATTTTTTACCTCAATTAATGAATCAGGGATTATGTGATCATTTATTGCAAAGGAGGGTAAGATAGCTATGCCTTTTTCATAGTTAACTGGAATTACTAAAAAATTATTGTTATGATTTTTTATAGGCTCAGTTAGTGGCTTGTTGTATGCAAGCGAAAAAGGTATTTTGATGTTGTTTAGAGTTAAAGTTTTGTTCTCATAATTAATAAGGGCGTTTAGATTTTTTAGATCTTTAGTTCCTATTAAGGCGTCAAAATCGGTATGCCAATTTAAAATACGTAATTTAAAAACTTGATTTATGCCTAGTTCTTGCAGAAGTGGTATTCTAAGATTTTTGTTTTCTTTATAGGTTTTTTTGCAAGCAGTCACTTCGAAGGGTTCGAAGAATATATTTTTGGGGTATAACTGGGCAATTTTTGGGGAGATGATTCAGAGGCGCCTGAATCGATAAGTATTGTTATTTGATTTTGATGAAGATAGAAATATGGGAGTTCAATTTGCTGTGCCAAATTGTTTATGTTGATTTTCGACTCGAGGCTGGTAGCTGAAAATTTTCAGAATTGTTTTCCTCGAAGCATTCGAAATTTTGGTCAGGGATATCTGGCCTGAGATCTTGAGGAAAATTTTGTTCCTCAGGATAAGCATAAGGTTGTGAGAACTCTTGTGACTGTGAAAAATCTGCAGGGTTTTCAAAATAGGAATCATAGTACGAAGCTTGAGGGTGTGTTTCTACGTTGGACAATTCTTGGAATGAAAAGTTTCTAGGTATTTTTAGTTGGGCAGAGTGACTTAAAATGCCGAGAGTGAGTTAAAATGTTTTTAAATCACTGAGGTGATAAACGTCTACACTTACCTTTATTGTTATGCGTTCAATAATGTCATTTTTAAACGTCAAAATGGGATAAAATGTATTTATTGATTTAAATCTCACACATAGTGACAGCTCTGCTGATAAGCACTGATTATGACAATAGACTCCTATAATATATTTTTTTTACTACTAACCTGAGAAATTGTCATTATTCAATCTATTTTTCTAGGAAAAAATTGAATTTCTCTCCCTAGGTGAATAATGAAAATAATGAAAAAATACCTAGGTTAATAATGAAAATGACGTCATGACGCAAGGATATTGTCATGTTTCTATTGGTTCAATTTCATTTCCATACGTCAATTTGAAAAAAAATACAGGTTTCTGTAGGTACATAGGAAGTTATCATAAGCTGTTGATAGAGGGCAGCACTTTCAAGAGGGCGTTCAAAAAAAAATAATTGGAGCACAGATTTTAAACAAATTTTTCATTTTCTACTAGCAGTAGTAAAAAAAATGCTATATATTCCTCGGTAGAGAAAGTCATTATATACCTCACTCATTAAAGCGCTCGGTATATAAGGACCAACTTCTCTACCTACGTATATAATATACTATTATTTACGACTAATGTATAATGTGCGTATTATATTTGTGATTTTGGCAGTATAATGACATATGTTATTCCTCCAGGGATTAATGACGAGTAGCGGGATTAATGGTCATTATTCCACAAAAGTGTCAGTGTCAAACGTGTAGTGCTTGTGGATTTGTATTGAAAATTATGAGACGGATGAAATTTGTTCATTGAAAATCTCAAATAAATTAATTTGTCGTAAATAAACTAGAGTATACTACTCGCAATAATGGCTATTATTCCCTCGGAATGTTACTCCCTCGCCGCTAACGCGGCTCAGTTCGTAATAATCCTCGGGAATAATAGCTATCATTATTGACTCGTGGTATAATCTACTATGAAAGAATTTGTGGTTTTACCGTTTTACATCAATATTTTTATTTCCAATGGTTATTTCGTATACATTTGCACAAATTGCAATTAAATGCCCAGAACTTGTGAGATTTTGTTTTTTTTATTATTCAAATAAACAGTCCATCATCATTATAGCGCTGTCAGCATTTCTCTCATGACGGGAACCAGATTTTGGCCTCTCAGATTTTGGTCTGTCCCGGCTGCCGCTGCTTGTCATTGGACTGAAAGGTCTGTGACGACTCATCGGTCGGTTTCTTTCGGACACCATCGAAGGGCTTCTGCTACCATCCGTAGGTTCATCTTGGTTCTTTTTTAGCTGAGACTTACCAGTATATCTAAAAAATAATTATTATCCCAATACTTACTCAGTCACAGATAATGAAATTCTTTAAAAACAGCCAACTATTTCATTGGCTCTGGAAAGCTCGAAATAGCTGAATCATTAATTTGAAAAAATCATTATTGCTCCAAGAGTGAATCAAATACTGAGTCAGAGCCATTTGAAACACTTAAGAACCCTCAGAGAACTGGGGTTTTCACGACTTGGTTTGCCTCATGGAATTCTTCAATTTAAAACCAACATACCTACCTCATTAGGATTTGGTTCACAAGTTTAGTTTCTTTTTCATTTAACGGATTATTAGTATGACCTGGATAACGTTCTTTTGTCTCCCTGAAAACGTTCAATCACAGTCAAGTTGTCAATTCGAATGTTATTCTCACCTATATCTCTTCTCATATTTGATAATAATCTTCTTCAGTTTTTCCAATTCCTTCGATAATCCCTCGACTAACTTTTGCATTTCCTCAAATTTCCTTTCTTCTGAGAGGTTTTGCTCCAGCTTGAAATCCTCTAAAAATTCATTAGGGATTTCTTCATTCAGCTCTAGTTTGGCAATGGCTCTGCGTAGCTTGGCATTTTCCTCTTCTAACAGCGCAACCTGGCCTTGCAGCTTATTTTCCCTTACCAAGTTAAAAGCCCAAGTTTCTTCACGACGATCAATCAAATCCTTTAGATATTTCACTGTGTTCATCAAATGCTCCATCTCACCCCTTAAAACATTAGAATAAGTACATTTGATTTATTAATATTTAAATTACTTACGGTGACACGACAAATAATTCACTATACTTTTGTAGCGTAATTTCGATTTGCTTTCGTAATTCCTCACTTTCCAAGCATGAACTGCAAATGGTTTCTTTCCAAGTTTGCACTCCTTTCTCTCTGATTTCTTTAATTTTCCTACCAGCCGCTTCATTGTATTTCATATTTATGTAAGCTTCCTTAAGCCTCATGAATACTTCCTGGTTGTCTTTGACAAATTGGAGCTTTTGTTCCAATTTCGCGGTACGTTTTCTTTCGTTTTGAAGTCTGAAAACGATATTTGCCAAATAATTTGTTTTAAAATGCGATGTAAATACCCTTCATTGATTTGTTCATTTTCGTCCTCTAAAAATTTCACTTTATACTCGTATTCCTCCAATTTTTTTCTCATGTTCTTAAGTTCATTATCGTCATCCAAAATGCTAGTGGTTACTGAAATTTCACTGCGGGCGTCGCCTGAATATTTTATTGAAGATTTTGAGGTTTCTACGGACATAATGGCATCAGAAAATCTGTCGCCTGCTGAAAAAAATATACTCGGTTTTGAAGAGAAATTGATCTGAACAACGACTGACCTTCATTTGCAATATCCCCATACTCATCATAATGTGACGAATTGTGTGGAAACGGAGAATTTGAAAGTTGATCGCGTTCTTCCATGATGAAATAAAAAACGAAAATGAAGATGTTTGACAACGAATGACATCAAAGTAATGTCAGAATACTTTTGGTCAGAACAGTCAATTGACCTTTTGTTTGGACGCCATATTGGGGTGCGCGAACATAGTTGCCAAAAGAAGAAAACAAAAATTACTAGCGGGCTGTCAACATTAAAAACAAAAGTTACTAAATGATTGATCCTTGCTATCCTGTATTTGTTTACTCTCTCTCTCTCTGATTCTATAAACAAACAAACTAAACCTATTTTTTGAATTCATTTTCATTTACCATTTTAAAATTTTCAAAAATATTCGTAATAGGCGGCAAATTCAAATTTTAAATGTAATTTCTTCAGTAACTTATGTTTTTAATGTTGACAGTACGCTAGTAATTTATTTTTTTTCTACTTTTGGCAACTATGTTCGCGCACCGCAATATGGCGTCCAAACAAAAGGTCAATTGACCTGTCTCGCATAAATACAAAAAGAGAGCTTAATTGTAATAAATACAAGTTGGAAAGTAATAGAATATGACATGCGCGCGCAACTAGTGGGTTGCAGTGTAGCCAGTTTGTATTTTTGCAGAACAAATGTAGATAATACAAATCGAACGTTATACCAATAAAAAAGTAATTTTTCACAACGTGTTTTACAACACTTTAAATCAGACAAGAGAAGAGCTTTAAAGTGAACAACACTACAGTGAGTTCGGAAGTAATACGTAAAGTATTAGTTTGCTCTTTGTCGAATTACACGTTACAAAGAAAGAAGGAAAAATTTATTCTGAACGGGCCTCTGAATAAGAATATGACGCAAGCCCGTAACTAACTCGTTTCTCATTGGTAGCTCCCCTACAACCTACGAGTTGCGCGCGCAGTGAAGGTAAAAACAGATAGGTCAATTGCGTTGCTAACTGTTTAAAGTATTTGAATCGTAAAACCCTGTCTCCACCAAAGCAACATAGTTCAACATAAGTACTGCAACAACATTAGTCAGATTAGGTATGTTTATGCATGCATGAATATTCTGATTTCCGAATTAGGAGGTCTATTTTTCTCAATAAAAGTTCCATATCAGAACTACACCATTTCAACCTCAATTTCGGAAAAAGTAACTTTTATTTAGGAAAATGTAAAGTCATTATCAGAAAAAGTCAAATTAATTTCAGAAAAAGTAAAGTAAATTTCGGAAAAGGAAAGTTAATTTCGGAAAAAGTAGAGTTAATTTCGGAAACGGTAAATTCAAATTCGGAAAAAGTGATACTACACTTTATTTTTTTCCAAGATAGATTTTGACATTGTCAACTTTGAAACATAAACAATGCCGCTAATGCCACTTATTGGCCGCTATTGTAAAACTGATGTCAACCTGCAGAAACACCTCATTTTGCGACCAATCAGGGTCAAGCGTTATTGTTTATGTTTCAAAGTTTTCAATGTCAAAACCTATCTTGGAAAAAAACAAAGTATATATAAGTATTATTTAAACAAAAAATTAGTTAGTTATATAGAAAAATAACATTATTAAAAATTATACACATATATTAAAAAAACTACATGTACTCCTAAATATTATGTCCCCAGATTGAAATTATCCAGTCTTATAACTGCAGGATAATGCCTCCGGACATGGTTATATGATCGGACAAGAATTCCAGCATTAATTCATCCAATAGCGGTGTCGGCTAGATTTTCTAAGTAGATATATAACTATGTTTACTTATTACTTTTTCCGAATTTGAATTTACTTTTTCCGAATTTGAATTTACTTTTTCCGAATTTGAATTTACTGTTTCCGAAATTAACTTTACTTTTTCCGAAATTAACTTTACTTTTTCTGAAATTAATTTGGCTTTTTCCGAAAATAACTTTACATTTTCCTAAATAAAAGTAACTTTTTCCGAAATTGAGGTTGAAATGGTGTAGACATTCGGAGAAAGTTTTCACCGTTTTCCCGCAAATCTTTTGACAATTCATTGCCTCCTTTTATTTTTCGGTTCTTTGAACTTGGGCCAAGCCAGCACTTACGCTTCCTTTTTTGCATGTTTTAACCCATTTTTGATGTCGAGCAAAGTTGAACTAAGGTTCATTTCACGAAGGTTTGTACTTAGGACATCGATGATGTCATAACTTGGAAAAAAAGGTTCGTCGTAGATTAACTCATAAAGTCTGTTTTTTTTTAAAGATAAAAGTCAAAATGACATGTTGGCATGTAAAATTGTCGATGCTTTCAAATTTTTTGTGTAGAAAAGGCTTGTGCTGCCAACATAGTTACTAAATTTTTGACTTGGGGAACTATCTTTTAAAAAAAAAACAGGCTTTATAAATTCAGCCATTCAGATTTTGTATTAAAATTTCTAACTTAGAATAATAGAGTCCATTTGAGATATCCAAAAATATATACCTGAATTAATTAACTGCGTATTATACAGTGTCATTACTTAAGTGTGCAACATATGGAATTTTTTTTTAGTAATAGCACAATAAAAATACAAACAAGGCCAAAAGTTGGAGCATGTCTGATAATCATATTAGGTGCACTTAGGTCCGATACTTTTGCTCTCGATTAACGAATTTGATACGTTGTCAAAGTTTTGCATGGGCCAAGGTCTATAAGTAAGATGTAGTTAAAGCACATTCTAACCCCTGATTATTTTTAACGGCTTTCAAATGAGAGCAAAAGTACCGGCACTTAGAATGGTTGCAAGTCAAACAGCATACAGGGTGGCTCAAAAAATATCAAAATTCTACTAATATTTACTTAAATAAAATAAAACTTTTGCACTTTAAGGAGAGTTTTTTTAATATGCATATTATCATTAGTAATGTTTTAACTTGTTAAAAAAAAAAATTGCGACATTTTAAAGTTGTGTTGAATATCATTGCAACAAACATGAATTTTGTGATTCCATAAAAAACAAATATGCTTGAATTTGAACAAAGTTATTTAAAATTGATTTGATTTTAATTAATTTTTGAAAGTATTAAGGGCGGAAATAAAAAATAAAAAAAAAATATAGAAATTATTGATTTTTTTCGAAAGAAAATAAAAAAAATCTTAGGAGGCTATGTTTTGGTATTTAGGCATAACTTTTAATTCCAAACAACTTTTCTCTATTACATTTTGCTGAATTTTCTAAAATAGGGGTACTTTACAGTACAGCTTTGATATTGTTTGAGCTACCCTGTATGCTGTTTGACTTGCAACCATTCTAAGTGCACCTAATATGATTATCAGACATGCACCAACTTTTGGCCTGGTTTGTATTTGGGTTGTGCTATTACTAAAAAAAAACCCCATATGTTGCACACTTAAAAAATCACACTGTATACCGCGGAATCGAATATTAATTTTAATTCCAAGGTAAGGTATATTTCTATTATATATTATATATACTATATTTCAGTCAATATATAACGTACTTATTTGGCAATTGCCTGATTATACTGCATACGGCTAGTCAGCATCAGTTCGGAGGCCATGGGTTTATGGATTCCTTGTAAACATCTTATCTCTGGACCAGGCCCTGCGATCTCTCATTGCCAGTTATAAACCACATAATAACTCTTTTCCGTTTTTCTAGATGTCGCTGACAAGATAACCACAGAATTGTAAAATACCAGCACATCAAGAATACGTCCGATGTCGATAACTGACATGTCAACATATGACAATATGCCAAAATATTCATTTGATCATAACTAATAATTCATAATGTTTTTTACCTATGTAAAGTTGGCACCCGAAAATCAAGCACACCTGATTTTCTCAGGAGTTCTGAGTACTTTTAGGATAGTTCTATAGTTCTGAGAGGGGTGCAACAATGTTCTCATGCCTAAGTATTTTTTTTTTAAAAACAAAAAAAGGGGTGCTAACTTCGCGCCGCACCCCTTTTTGATAGTGCAACAGTTCTCGAGTGATTTTTCGGTTCTAAGGGTATAGTTCTAGAGTTCCTGATAGAAATTATGAATAGTTCTGCAAAAATAAAGCTAATATAACGGAAAAAGTTTTCAGGCGCGCAGGTCGCGCGGCGCGCCCCAGTCGTATTGCGGGGCATAGCATCCCGGTACATCAGACATTACGCGATACATTTGAAGGCTCGTTGAGATGTATGGAGGCTGCTGGGGTCAGAACTATGGGTTAGCACTCCATAGTTCTGGTGTCTACTATTACTCTACTATGGATAAATTTCAAAATTAACTGGGGTGCTGTGAAATACACCGGGTTTCCACGCGCATCCATGCTAAATTGGCATACTGGAGGCTGCTGGGGCCAAAACTATGTGTTATTTCTGCAGCACTCCATAGTTCTGGTGTCTACTATTAATCTACTATGGATAAATTTCAAAATTAACTGGGGTGCTGTGAAATACACCGCGTTTCCACGCGCATCCACGCTAAATTAGCATACTGGAGGCTGCTGGGGCCAGAACTATGGGTTATTTCTGCAGCACTCCATAGTTCTGGTGTCTACTATTAATCTACTATGGATAAATTTCAAAATTAACTGGGGTGCTGTGAAATACACAGCGTTTCCACGCGCATCCACGCTAAATTGGCATACTGGAGGCTGCTGGGGCCAGAACTATGTGTTATTTCTGCAGCACTCCATAGTTCTGGTGTCTACTATTAATCTACTATGGATAAATTTCAAAATTAACTGGGGTGCTGTGAAATACACCGCGTTTCCACGCGCATCCACGCTAAATTGGCATACTGGAGGCTGCTGGGGCCAGAACTATGTGTTATTTCTGCAGCACTCCATAGTTCTGGTGTCTACTATTAATCTACTATGGATAAATTGCAAAATTAACTGGGGTGCTGTGAAATACACCGCGTTTCCACGCGCATCCACGCTAAATTAGCATACTGGAGGCTGCTGGGGCCAGAACTATGGGTTATTTCTGCAGCACTCCATAGTTCTGGTGTCTACTATTAATCTACTATGGATAAATTTCAAAATTAACTGGGGTGCTGTGAAATACACAGCGTTTCCACGCGCATCCACGCTAAATTGGCATACTGGAGGCTGCTGGGGCCAGAACTATGTGTTATTTCTGCAGCACTCCATAGTTCTGGTGTCTACTATTAATCTACTATGGATAAATTTCAAAATTAACTGGGGTGCTGTGAAATACACCGCGTTTCCACGCGCATCCACGCTAAATTAGCATACTGGAGGCTGCTGGGGCCAGAACTATGTATTATTTCTGCAGCACTCCATAGTTCTGGTGTCTACTATTAATCTACTATGGATTCTGGCCCCAGCATGCTCCAGTATGCCGATTTAGCGCCGATGCGCGTGAAAACGCGGTGTATTTAACAGCACCCCAGTTAATTTTAAAATTTATCTATAGTAGATTAATAGTAGACACCAGAACTATGGAGTGCTGCTGAAATAGCCTATAGTTCTGGCCCTAGCATGCTCCAGTATGCCGATTT